CCTCCTGGCTGAGCCTTTGCTCGCCCACCTGTCCTGATGAAACTGGAAAGGCGTCCGGACCATCAGTAATCGTTCAATCCTAAAAAAAACGTCTGTAAAGCTGGAATGGTCATATGGGCAGAATCACTAAAATTTTTAATGAAAATTTAGTGCTTTTTAAGCGCTAATTTAGTGCAGCAAAATCAATTTTTACGTCCAAACAGGATAATCAAAAATTATAAAACTGCTAGCTTATAATTAAGCTAGCATTGTACTGCTGGTTATAACGTACATATTGTCAGTGTTGAGCAAAACCACATGATAGCATTCATAATTAAGTGCTCATTAAGTGCTTGCTCACTGTTCATAGTTTTTTTGACAATACACTAGAAGCTTTCGTCGGTCCTACAAATATTATTTTCAATTACAGTCCCAGCGGACGGCGTGAAGGGCAAGACGTGGGGTCCGTCGACGGTGCACCAGCGGTCCCGCTCCCGCACGCAGCTCCCCCTCCCCCCTGCCCCTCCCCCTGCCGCCCCGCCCCGCGTGCCCCGCGCCCGCTTCAGTCTGTCGGCGCCCGACCTGCCGCCCGCCTCGCGACCAGGTAACCTGCTGCTGGCCGTGGTGCAGCGCCACCACCACCACTACGACGCGGTGTTCGACCAGCCCTGCCTCGCCCTGGCCTCCGACACGACGCGACTCCTGCGCGACCAATAGTTTGGGCTGCACTTTTGTTTTGCATTGATTTAGTTGGCACGCGACTGCTGACGTGACGTCACGGGCGCCGGCGAACCCCCGGCCGCCCCTGCTCCTCGGTGTTGCCACATATATAACTTGTTTCTCACATCAGCCGCAATGTGCTACTCTTGATATAAAAAAATATAAAAAATATTAAGAGTCAAAAATTCTGTCACAATGTAATAAACAGTAACTAATGAAAAATTGCAACATAATAAATTTAACGATCTCAATTTTAGGAAGTAACAATATACAAAAGTAATTATCGGTAGCGTTAATGATTAAAAGATATGTGATTCTGCACACCTCGTATTGATGTGGGAAGTCCGTCGCCCCAGTGCAAACATCGACATAAGCGAAACGATGTACAAACAATGTTGCCATACTTAATACATATCATTTTTACTAACACATTCCTGTGATGCATTTGACGGCGAAACAAAATTCTACCCCAAACTATAACATGATATTTCTAACGAACCTACGAAATAATCTTTTTCGCTTCGATACTTAGTTAAAAACTCGTGGTAAGGCGTATTTACTATACTAGTTATCAGTATCATGGTAGAGTTTAGTAGAAATAATGGTGTCTTTTAGAATATAAAAATTAATGCTACTTTTGAGTTAAGATTTATTATATTATATGAAACTATTAATAAAATTTAAATCTTGTAATTCACTCAAAAGTATATTAATATTTATTATATTTTACTATACATTGCTGGGCTAATAATTTCTTTCGTGTAAATAGTTGAGTTTAGGTAAGGCGGTAGTTTTTATTTAAAAAAATTAAAAGACTCGTTAGATTTTAAAATGTCCAAACTTGTACTGTACCTGGCGCTTGAGAGCTTATACCATCGTCTACAAGTAGACAACGTGCCGCAGCCACTTGGCTCAGTGCCGATTTCATCTCTATTGCTGCGTCTTGAAGGCTCAGTTTCATATGACAAACGTTGTCGAAGGCCGCGTAATGGGCGCGGTCATTAGCCTAAGATGGCTCTGGTTACCAGGATCAGTCTGTCTATTGTCGACACGATAGTTTGTATGGCGTATATGAATTTATATTTACTCTTGACAGGGCTGAACGCTCGAGCGATACGAACATTAAAATAGATCTCTTGTGGTTTGGACTTTTTTATATAATTGGTATTAGTAAATAATATTTCCTGCACTGAAACTATATAAAAATAAAGTAATTAGGTTATTTGCCAAACATTTTGTTAAACTGATATAGTGAGAAGAGATTCATGACGAAAGGGATACGGTCCGCAACTTGTTATATAAAATAATGATACAGAAAAAAATTTTAGTCATTTAAAAACTAATACTAGGAGAGAGCTAGTGTCTGAACATAAGTTTGTTTAGTAATATGCACAGAGATATAAGGTGAATAAACATCTATTTATGGCATTATATAGGGACTCAGGGGATACGTTCATAATCTTGCATGTGTGTTTTGAGAATTGGTTTTTAATTATTGTCATCATAAAATACCGTAACGCCTGACATAAAGGCATATAGTATTATCATGCAAAGATTCATAGAATGTGAAAAAATACAAATCGATAAAACTGTATATATGTATGCATTAGTAATACCAAGATTAAAATTATTAAAAACAGCCTAACCACTATGTAGCGTTATTTATAACAAAGAAAAAATAAAATTGTTGGCTCCACGTCAATTATATATAGAACGAAATTGATGCGCTTATAACCCACGGTGACTTAAATAGAGACTATATTGCAACTATGGACACTTACCACCATAAGGAATGTGACACTAATCACTTAGATTGTTTTATATTTTTAGTTTAAAGAATTAGGAATGCATAAGATAGCTAATTAAATATTATACAATATTTTACTCACACTAACAGTGTTACAAAACTACATGTTGTTTGACAAGTAATTTAGTATAATGTGTTAATTTGTAAGCTAATACTGGGCAATACGTGTATTGTTTTTCTCTTGTTGCCGTGCGGCCGATAGAGGAGCAGCCGTGTCTCTAGGTAGAGACTTGCGCGATCATACTCCCCTGTATGCGAGTATATCTCCGCGCCTGTCTACCGCTGACAGCGACTTGAAAACCGGACAAAATTCAATAATCATACCACAACCTGTCTTTATTCAGACACTCTAAATCAATGTGAGTATAAGCGTTCAAACATGGTTTTCACCGTCGTTACGGTTAAGGAGATAAGCTAGCTAGTATGTTATTTGTAGTTAGTGACGTTAAAATTGGACGGATGTTGTAAGCGTGTCGAGACCGGCACAGAAAATGCTAGTCACAGCGCCATCAATAATACCAAAGTCATTGCACCGCATCTGCTATTGGACGGGCGCTTTTTGGTTTATGTCCTTAGTGATTGCCGTGGTGGAAGGCGACCAGTTAAGGTGGGGGTTATAAACTTTTATTTAATGTAGTTTATATAAGTCGTGATCTTGATATTATATTATGTTGTCTGTAATAATACAAGATATTATCAATTTTCTCTTTTTTTAGTTATTATAAAGGATAATGAATTTGTGGTATATATGTTAATGACAATTAAAAAAAATAGATTATTGCTGAAATGCAATAATGTTGTTTGTTATGCACTCGTGCGTGGCGAGTTTCTCCATGTAGTGCGCTGATATTTTCTGTTTTTTTTATTTGTAATGTTTGAATGATAAGTGGTGAGCTCATTGGTTATTTTTTATGTGTCTGAATGTTGTAATAAAATAAGTAAATTAGAGTCAATTGGTGTCTTTTTCCAGTACCAACTTGATTTCGTGATTTTATAGATGTACTATGGGTATTGCACTTAGAACTCTATGTGATCAATAGTACTATGCCTACGTATATCTCAGACGGCCCAGTGCAGATTTGATTTTAAATTTTGCGTCCTGGTCTTGAATGTCCGGTTATAATGAACCTATGTGAGCATTCTGAATTTCGTATTGTAAATGTATAAACCTGTATTATATTGTACTTATTGTATGAGATAGGTATATCATGTTTTTTTTTATTTTATCAATTTTTTCGCTTGTGATGTTTTTGTTTGTGTTATTTCTCTCGTTCTTATACGGAAATAAGCACACGAATGAATCCAACTTATGTAATGGGCCGTGACGCCCATGTTTTCTTTTCATTCATATTATTGGTTTTAAGAATACAATGTACAGAGTGGTACGTCTTTATTCTGATTTATTCGTCTCTTATTGCATATTCAATAGAAAAATTCGTATTTGGTAGGCTGCCTGGGGTATTTCGATGTATTATGATCTGGGGAATTCACATCCTACGTCTGTCGTATAGATGTTATAGTGATAAATGTGTGTTGTTGCCTATATACATTCTTTATAGGGCTCACTATTCGAGCCGATTCATCTACGTTTCTTTTTTTTTGATCTATATTATAAGATATAATTTAAGGTATAATAATGTGTATTCTTTTTTTTTATGCTCAGCCGTCAATTAAATTAACTCTATAATACTCTCTATAGGACTTTCGATCGTTATCATTTTTATCGTTAATTAATGTTATATATAATATTAAAGTCATCAACATACGTGCCGTTAGAAAGATCTTTTTTATGTATGTGTCTCTATCGTTATTTATTATCAATATGCACTAGCGTACCTAGCATACTAGTTTTATTTATAGTTCATATATGCCAGGCTGTTAGTAAAGGTTTACCATTTCCGTATATTGGACACTCGTTTTTTTAGGGTTTTTTTCTTACGCTACTACTAACGTAGATTATGGTCGCATAGATGATTGGTTCTTTTACGGCGTATGAATTGTAGGAAGTGCGCGAGGATCTGCTGGTTTTCATTATACATCTATTGAATAATCGACCTAAACATAGTGAGGTCGGGGTATCGCTCACCGTAGACCCTCGCTCTTTGTACCTAGAGAAATAATATCAGATGGTGTTAATATTATAGTGGAATTTGTGGTTTCGCGTTAACTCTCCAAAGCTCAAATCCGTTTTATGTAACTCTTTAAAGTATCCCACATTATTTTTCATTCAATGTTAATGATTAATGCTGAAGTAAAAATAAAACTAAATAGATAAACTTATCGGATATCCGGGTGCCGTAAAGCCATCACAAGTTAATATTATTGTTATCCAGGTAACTGTTTTGCACTATAGTCATATATTAGTGGAATTAAGATTTTTAGCCGTACTTTTAGGCAATGTTTTCAATATACATATATAGATACGTCGCTTAGAGAAGAGTGAACTCTCATATCCGATTTACAAATCGGATTTATACGTTAGGTGACTATGATTCCATATTCTAAACATGAGAAGCAGTCATAAACTAAATCGGTGTAAGTAACTTATATTTTCCACGAATTCCTGATAATGAACAAGTATGTTTTTCCGGGACAATATGGGTAGATTGCCACTGAAGATAACTCAGCGGAACAGCGAGTGACCATGCTCGGTGGTGGATAAGAACGACTGAAAATTCTGACTTGACGCTGCTCCTATGCACTACGTGACCACTCTGTGGCGTGTGTTCTAAATCATCAGGGAAAGCGCGTAACACTCGTGTATAATATCTCTGTCTGAGATAGGAACATAATTCCTCTAGTATGTATGAGGAATGCAAGAGTTAGCAGCCAAGTATTGTAACAGGTAATGGATATTCTGTAAGAGCTGCTATGAAATGTCATGGAAAATGCTGACTAAGTGATATTACTGTGTTGGTTCCTCCGTCCATATTACTTCAAACGATTGTGAGATAGATAAGGATTTGATATCCAGTGGGTAGATTATTCATAACATCTCTGCATTTTCTTATTTAGCTTGTGTATGTTGTTTGCAAATTATATATATGTGATGCACTCACAAGGTGATGAAGCCTGTTTAGTTCTAACTTTGACCCTAATGTTAATGAATCGATAGCTTGGAGATATTCTCTGCCATGCATAGTGGCTGAGCTTGTGTACAGTCTGTAGGAACAAAATATGGCATGGGTGATGTAAAAAGATAACACTTGGATATTATAAGGATTAAAATTTCTTTGTGTGACCACAGGATACGGCGACGGCAGTGCTGTATAGTGGACTGGCCTTCTTGGTGTAGAACGAACTGTTATATTTTATTATCGAAACCATATTATTTTTTATTTGTACACTTTATCAATTTCCCAGTTTTGCATATTACTTTTAATGGTAAATTGCTACATTTCGGTAGTGACTGTATTTATAAGCATTTATTTTTTATCGACTACTCTTTAACTGTATATTGACTACCAAGAGATCAAGTGATGGATTAGGAAATAAAATACGCTACTGGCGAGAAAATTGATATCTTTCACATAATTTTATTTTTTAAGATTTTATAATTTAGAATTGTAATACTGTAAGTACGGTGGTGCAGTTAGTAGTAGCCGAATTGTCGTGCCGCCGAGGGTCGTGTGTTCGAATTCCCCGCATCGGGCAAAACACTGTGCATGAACCCCGGTATAACAAAAAATAATAAATATAAACGGTCGTGTATGTGAGTGCTTACATTAAAATACAATTGTAATTCTAATATGATTAAATAAACTTTTTGAGTATGTTTGAAATAAGGCCATACGCATTACGCGTCATCATATGTAACCTTCCATTATATAGAAGCCAAGAAAAATTATTACGGTAATAGCGTTATATAGATAGGTAATCAAGATACACCCTCTTTTTTTCTCTGTTATGCACACATTAGAATGAGATGAGATAAGTTTATCAGCGTAGACATCTCATCTTTGTGTTATTAAGTGATTTATCTTGAAAGCGCAAAACCATAAAGAAACAATATTAGCAACATTTAGATTTCCAAGACGCACAAGACGTAAATGCCACCCCCACATTTGAGAGAAAAATCGTTTCTATGTATGTGTCTAAACAATGTATATGGTGTTGTGAACGCATCATAATAGATAAACTCAGGCGGGCCCTATGCTGTCCTCACTGCCATTTCAAGCTCCCACAATAAGCGGCTTTTTTCTATCCGTATACCACAGGACTCTTCACTTCACCGGAGTCCTGTAGGAAGATAGTGCGTGGGGCCAGTCGGCGGAGGTGGTACCTACACCCTTGGCTGACTCACAAAACGTCCTACTACCAGTAAAACTCTGGATACACACAGTACGCACCCCTGAGAGTCTTTCGAATAACGTAATTTTGGGTGTCGCTAACGCACCTGTGCGGTGATGTTCCTTATTGCAGTTATTTACCTATCCCTTCCTCACAGCACTCAATAGTAAGCGGCAAACACCTCGGTGCGAGAGTGCTCAGGTGTTGCGTGTTATCGTGATGCGAATTTCAGATTTCAAGATTCTTCAGAAACCTTGGCGACACGGTTGATTTCCCTGTTTGTACGTACACGACAAGCTCTAGATACGAATTCGTCTATTAAGGGGCTGCGCGTTCGATACTTTATTTATTTATTTATTTATTTATTTTATTATTATTTGTGGTCATAGTTTAACAAAGATTAATAAGCTAATATTAATAAATGTATGACTATGTCCTGCTAGTAAAGCGTACAAATATTAGGTGTAAGTCTACATAAAAATAAAAAATAAAACTTAAATTATTCTACTTTATCATCTTAATTATCTAAAGTTATCGTCTAAATATTCTGACATACTATAGTAAGCCTTATCTATTAAAAATACTTGCAATTTTTGCTTAAAATCTTGTAAATCTAAAACATATTATAATTTTAGTTTTAATTTGTGTCTTGTAGTGCCTAGCGACTTGTTTACTCTTTTTACTTTATAATAGAACATTGTACACATATTACATTATATATATTGTTTAATTGGTGTGTTTGACTTTTATGTGTTCGGAGCATAATATCCCGAGAATACGAATAACAAACCACACTAATAATAAAACCTCCCCCTGCCGCCCCCGCCCCGCGTGCCCCGCGCCCGCTTCAGTCTGTCGGCGCCCGACCTGCCGCCCGCCTCGCGACCAGGTAACCTGCTGCTGGCCGTGGTGCAGCGCCACCACCACCACTACGACGCGGTGTTCGACCAGCCCTGCCTCGCCCTGGCCTCCGACACGACGCGACTCCTGCGCGACCAATAGTTTGGGCTGCACTTTTGTTTTGCATTGATTTAGTTGGCACGCGACTGCTGACGTGATGTCACGGGCGCCGGCGACCTCTGGCCGCTCCTGCCCCTCGGTGTTGCCATATATATAACTTGTTTCTCACATCAGCCGCAATGTGCTACTCTTGATATAAAAAAATATATAAAATATATTAAAAGTCAAAAATTCTGTCACAATGTAATAAACAGTAACTAATGGAAAATTGCAACATAATAAATTTAACGATCTCAATTTTAGGAAGTAACAATATACAAAAGTAATTATCGGTAGCATTAATGATTAAAAGATATGTGATTCTGCACACCTCGTATTGATGTGGGAAGTCCGTCGCCCCAGTGCAAACATCGATATAAGCGAAACGATGTACAAACAATGTTGCCATACTTAATACATATCATTTTTACTAACACATTCCTGTGATGCATTTGACGGCGAAACAAAATTCTACCCCAAACTATAACGATATTTCTAACGAACCTACGAAATAATCTTTTTCGCTTCGATACTTAGTTAAAAACTCGTGTTTAAGGCGTATTTACTATACTAGTTATCAGTATCATGGTAGAGTTTAGTAGAAATAATGGTGTCTTTTAGAATATAAAAATTAATGCTACTTTTGAGTTAAGATTTATTATATTATATGAAACTATTAATAAAATTTAAATCTTGTAATTCACTCAAAAGTATATTAATATTTATTATATTTTACTATACATTGCTGGGCTAATAATTTCTTTCGTGTAAATAGTTGAGTGTAGGTAAGGCGGTAGTTTTTATTTAAAAAAATTAAAAGACTCGTTAGATTTTAAAATGTCCAGACTTGTACTGTACCTGTCGCTTGAGAGCTCATACCATCGTCTACAAGTAGACAACGTGCCGCAGCCACTTGGCTCAGTGCCGATTTCATCTCTATTGCTGCGTCTTGAAGGCTCAGTTTCATATGACAAACGTTGTCGAAGCCAGTCCAGTCCAGACAGTTTTATTTTTAAATTTTAGGCTTAGTTAGATCTCTAGGGATCGAGGTAGAAATAAAGACTTGGATTATTATTGTATAAAAAACTTTCCGACTGAAAAAAAAAACTAGTAGGTTCTTGCCAAATTTCGTCTGAATGGAGAATACCACGAGTGCGTCGCAACTTAAAAAAAATAATAAAAAAAATATGTAAAAAATAGGTGGGCGACATATTTGTTGTATTCACAGAGTTGGGTGAATAACACATTTGGTTTGACTCGTGAGAAATTTGTGGATAATTTTTTTTAATTATTGTCATCAAAAAATACCGTTAACCGACATAAAATAGTATTCACAAGAATGTGAATAAAATAAAATTTAAATTTTATGATATAAGTTGTATTATGAAAAACTATCCACAGTAGCGTTTGTTAAAAAAAAAATTTGCTCAGTACAAAATTAGACAGTATTAAAAATGACTTGACCACATCATAGATGAGACCACATCATAGTTTTTTTTTTTTTAGTTAGTCAAAGAATTGGATACATAAGATTTAGAAATTATATAAATTTTTCCGTGTCAAACTACATGTTGTTGACAAGTAGTAATAATTAATACGGATAACTTTTGGTTCTCTTGCTGCTCGCGAAGGAACTTCTCAGGACAGCTTGCTCTACCCCTGTGAGTATTCCGCGCTGTTACCGCAGCGACTTGAAACGCGTTCATTACAATTGTTATTAAACAATCAAATATAGGGTAGTTTAAAAAAAAAAGCACTAGATTAATTCAATTCGTAATTGAGAATGAGTTTCAAGTCGGAAATGTCACAAAAATCCATATCATTTGTATTGGATTTTTTTTTCATTAGTGATCCGTGACGGTAGTTTAATATTAGTGAACGTATTTTTTTTTTTTAGTTTTAGAAAGGAATTGATTTGTATAAACAAAAATAGATTAGAAATGTCGTTGTTTGACTCGTGTGATACTCAGTGCGTGTTTTTTTTTTTGTAATGTAGTATTGGACTTGTATTTTTTTTTTTTGTAAATTGTAAGCATTTGTTTTCCAGCCATTTATAAACTATGCATGCTTAGCAGTTCATAGTACTATGCTACGTATTCTCGACGCAGTGCAGTTTAATTTTTTCCTGTATGATATGTATCTGTTGTACTTACTTATTTGTTAGTTATCATGTTTTTATTTTTTATTTTTTTTCGCTTTGTTTTTTTTTAAACACCATGTCATTTAAGGCACGCTTTCAAATGTTTACAATACGACTATTATTTTTCTCTAATGCATTTTTTTGTATTTGGAAGTCTATGTGATTTTCATAATTATATTTAGCTCTNATTTTTTCCTGTATGATATGTATCTGTTGTACTTACTTATTTGTTAGTTATCATGTTTTTATTTTTTATTTTTTTTCGCTTTGTTTTTTTTTAAACACCATGTCATTTAAGGCACGCTTTCAAATGTTTACAATACGACTATTATTTTTCTCTAATGCATTTTTTTGTATTTGGAAGTCTATGTGATTTTCATAATTATATTTAGCTCTCTCGTTTGACAAATTTAGGAAAAGGATTCTTTGTTTTTTGCCTTAATTATTTTCACATAGGCTTTCGATTCGTTTATTTTTATTATTATTTTAAAGTAGTTTATATATAATGTATAGTATGTTATTAATTACCAGCTGTAACATCCGGCAGTAACAATGTTCCTCGCAGTGGTGGTGGATCGCGTTAATACACAAACATTAGAGGGCGCCTCCGTGCCTCGCCCGGAGGTCGTCCCAGTAAGACTCGTCCAAAATAATGTTAACGAAAGTAAAAAAAAAACTGGTGATCTGGTACCTATTATAGTGAATAGATCCTCTTTATATATTACATATATCAAATAAACCTTTTCCATAAAATCGATTACGGTGTATTCTTTTAACATGGGACTACTAATCGATTAGTAACTAACACATCCCTATAACAAGAGTTTCCGACAAGGAGCCATAGAACTCGCGGACACGAGTGACATCGGTGGGGGAAAGAGAAACGCTTACGCTTATTACATACACTCTGTGGCTGTTCTAATTCGGGAAGTGGGAAAACTGGAATCTTAACATCTTTGATTAACAAGTAGAAGGAATTTTAAAGTGCTATTATGAATTAGTGAAGTTGTTAAATGTAAGTATTTTAGATATATCTATTTTTTAATTATTATTTTTTAAATTAATATGACAAGTATAGCTTGATTTTATTGCATATATGAACTGTTGAGCATGTGTGGTTGTCGTCTGTAAACAAAACTTGCATGTGTAGTAACACTGAAGTTAAAGTGTGTATAGCCGTTACCAATTACCATTTTTTTTTTTAATCCTAATTTCCAGTTCTTTTTTTAGTTATGTACTTTAGTGATATATAAATTATTTTTCACTGTATATGTACAGAGAAAGTGTTGGAAATACTCGGCAAATGAATCTTCAATATTTGATATAATTTAACTGAAGTCGGTAATCATAATAGTTACTATATAAAAAAATTATCTAATGTAACTTAGAATTTGAACCAATTACTTCATGTCAATTAATAAGCAAGAATTATTTTGTTAAAGAAAAACTCTTTTCATACAACAGACAAATATTTAGTAGAATTTTTATTGATTTCTAAAGAAAAAAAAAATGCCATTTGTTTCCAGCGCGAGCTACACATGAGACAATATGGTTTGACGCACAAATAACTGGGCCTATGTTTTCCATTCACATAGGTTGTTTTCTTCCTTACACAGACTTCAGTCCAGAGGAGTGGGGCCCGGAGTACCCCCTGAACTCTTCGAGGTACACTGTGCCCATGCCCACCCTGTACAGCACCGAGGGTGAGTTGGTATCATCATTTCATTAACTTGACTATTATCTCAATATATATACATATTTTTATTGCTAAATGGGTGTACGAGCTCACAGCCCACCTGGTGTTGAGTAGTTACTGGAGCCCATAGACATCTACAACGTAAATGCGCCACCCACCTTGAGATATTCTCACGGATCGTTTGGAACCTCTGGGTCTGCGGAGGGACTTCGGTTCCCTCTGTATTTTGTACCGTATGTTCCATGGGGAGTGCTCTGAGGAATTTTTGAGATGATACCATCATCTCGTTTTCACCATCGCACCGCCCGCCACTGGAGTAGAGTTCATCCATACTACCTGGAGCAACTGCGGTTGTCCACAGTGCGTTTCCAGAGATCTTTTTTGCCACGTACCATCCGGCTATGGAATGAGCTCCCCTCCACGGTGTTTCCCGAGCGCTATGACGTGTCCTTCTTCAAACGAGGCTTGTGGAGAGTATTAAGCGGTAGGCAGCGGCTTGGCTCTGTCCCTGGCATTGCTGAAGTCCATGGGCGACGGTAACCACTCACCATCAGGTGGACCGTATGCTCGTCTGTCTACAAGGGCAATAAAAAAAAAAAAAGATGAGTTCTAAGGTCTCAGTATAGTTACGACTGCCCCACCCTTCAAATTGAAACGCATTACTGCTTCACGGCAGAAACAGGCAGGGCAGTGGTACCTACCCGTGCGGACTCACAAGATGTCCTGCCACCAGTGTAATATAAAGGAATCCTAGAATGTTATAAGTCACAACTGATTAACTGGAACGTTAACTTATGTGTCAAGAATCCATAACATTAATGTTGATCTAATATTTGTTGCTTAGATAGATAGATGAGTTCACAGCCTACTTGATATTAAGCTGTCGCAGAAGCCCATGGACATCAACAACATTAATGCCACCACCCACCTTGAGACCTGAGTTCTAAGTCAGTTTTGACAGTACTGGTATCCTACCAGGATCACGAGTGTAAAAAAAGAAGACATTTTCATATTTAGTTGGGCTTTCTATTTAAATGAGTTTTTTTATCCCTCTATGTAATTAAGTCTAAAATATAAATACATGTTTTACTGAATAATTTGAAACTTAAATCGTTACATTTAAGGCTATCTCTTTAATTTCGAATTTCTTAGTGGAGAATACAATTAACGATGGTTATTTGTTTTCAGGCTACAAATACAAAAAACCGAGTATCATAGAACTGGTTTTATACAACATGGCGGCGCTATTGGGTGGAGTCGCGGCCGGATATGACGTCAGAATGTCAAATGTCAGCCCCCTGCATCCGACGTTACAGCCACACAGGTAGGTACCTCAATGTTATGCACTAGTGTCTTACGTCATAATAATATATGTACATATATGTGGGATGGTATGGCGAAATCTAGAGGATATTTAGTTTAACAATAAAATCATTATTTAAAAAAAAAATACTATTCGTAACATCGCCATCTCAATTTTATGACTGTCATTTTTATTTCCATAGGTTGAAATAAAATTAGGTACTGGCACATAGTGTGAATTGACCAAAAAGGACTGATCTCCCCACTTATATATGATGATATGATGTAATATGCAGAATTATGAATCAGCTTAGAAACTAAATTTTTTTTTATTGCTTGGATGGGTGGACGAACCCACAACCCACCTGGTGTTAAGTGGTTATTGGAGCCCTTAGACATCTACAACGTAAATGCGCCACCCACCTTGAGATATAAGCTCTAAGGTCTCAGTATAGTTACAACGGCTATCCCACCATTTAAACCGAAACGCATTACTGCTTCACGGCAGAAATAGGCAGGGTTGTGGTACCTACCCGTGCGGACTTACAAGAGGTCCTACCACCAGTAACTAAGGAACTTATATAATGCAATACCCATTTTATTAACAATAATATTCTACGATTCTTGCGTTAGAACAAAGCAGATGCCAACACTACACGTCATGTGCGGAGCTCAGAAACGCTGACAGCCGCTACTCTCGGTCTGGCCTAAGCCCATGGGCAGCACTACACCGTATCTAAAGCGGCGCAAGTTTCTGTCACGAACCTAAAATTCGGTTGTAATATAATTTCAGACAAGAGACGGAGCCCGAGCCTCCGAGCAGCGCGTCGCTGTACGAGGGCTTCGGCTTCGGGCACAACACGTACCACGGGCCCACCAGGCACCTGCGCGCGCCGCTCAACGCCATCACGGGCTCGCCGGTACGACGCCACCTTGTAGCCAGGGCCGGATTTAAACTTAATGCCGCTCCGCCTGGGCACCGGAAAAAAATCCGCCCCAATACTGGAATTTTACTTAAACTTATAGTATATATTTTTTAGCGATAGGCAGCGGCTTGGCTCTGCCCCTGGCATTGCAGAAGTCCATGGGCGACGGTAACTACTCACCATCAGGTGGGCCGTATGCTCGTGTGCCTACAGGGGCAATAAAAAAAAATATATTTTATTTTTCAAACTTAAAATTACTAATTGATTGCAGAAACGTTTATCATAATTAATTTATATAATCCAAAAACATAAGGGTGACTCATAATTTTATACATCACAAACAAAACGAATTAAATTTCTTTTATTCCAAAAAATAGAAAAATCGATTATTATTTTAAATGTTCAAGGAAATAAATTGATATAATCATTTTGATTATAATTTTCTACGAAAAGTACCAAAATTATAATTCACAAATAATGGATAAATTGAATGCGTTGAATTATCAATTAAACAGAAAATTATTAATTAATAGAATTAATTTATTATATTGAGTACCTTGATAAGACAAAAAAAATATTCACTTTCCAAATTTTGCTGCCCTGGGCACTTGCCCTGACTGCCCCTAGTGTAAATCCACCACTGCTTGTAGCTCACTGTCATCACGTGCTCACCGGCGTGCGCGTGCAACTTGGTGCACGTGAATGAAGTGAAACTTCTTATTCGATGTGTAGTATTGTGGTTTTGCTTCATTTTTCATCCCTAAATCAGATTGCTCTTGTAATAGAGAATGCTGTGTATAAGAGATGCGACATCTTCAACACTTATATTATATACATTTTAAATTATAGATAGAAAAATATTTTTTTTGAATACTTCATTAAAATATTGGCCTCTACTCGTTGCTAACGCTCACACCGGACCAAGTACACTACGCGCATGCGTTCGAGTGCCACGCATTCACTCTCGCTCTATCTCTTTCTATTCCCCCTCCCCAGGAGCGTTGAACGTTTAACGCAACCCAGTTGGAAGTCGCATCAGAAGTTTCACTGCAATTAATATCAAAACACCACACTCAAAGGTCTTAACATAGAATTAGAATCTACTCCTGTATAACATGTCCCGACAACATAAGAGCAAGAGGCTACCCTCTGAGACGGCAGAAATTAAATATTTGTAGCATAGATATTAACTCCGAACGGAGATTTGCTTCAGAACCTTCGTGGGACCGGTTAGCGTAACTAGACTCTGCATCGGTCGGGCCCGCGATGCTGTAGACTCGTTTTAAGTTCTATGAAATTATTTATTTAGTGTTAATGCATTTCCAGATGTCCAGTTCGAAGACTGACGAGCAGAAACCGTTGAGGTTCACAGATTCACCGTCACAGTACGCACACCCGTCGTCCTCTTCCGGCTACGGTCACTCCGCACCCTCCGCGCTCACGCAGCCCCCCACCCCGTCGCCCCGGCGCACATCTTCCACCACATCCGACCAGCTAGCGGACCTGTACCACAACTATAGAGAAAACTTCCAGCCCTCGCCTTCCCAGGACCGGGACTACTACTACAGGACCGACCCGTACGCGTACGACCGGACGGCCGACTATGTTGTGAAACATCCCCCCTACTTCGGCTACGACGAGTGCTCCTTCGACTACAGGGAGCCTACGCCCGACTATCGGCCCTCCCCGCAATATCTGACCCATAGGCGGACTCCTTCAAACTCCTCGACCTCGAATTCGCATCACGAAGAGTTCTCCCCGGCGAGGCAGTACCGTGACAAATTCAAAGAGAAAGAGTTCAGACCGAAACCAGAGTATCCGAGGAAGAATAATGACTATTCATTACCTAGAGATTTCTACAGACAGGACTCTCAAGAGAAAGACATCGAAAGACCTGCGAACCTGGGCTTGGAGCTGGCACCGACGAAGCTTCGCTCTAGTCTGAAGAAGTACAAGAAATCCAGCGTCTCCGGTGGCAGCTCGGGAGGTGGAACTCCTCCGGAGAGTCTTGCGAGTTTGCCCAGTGACACGGACAGTTCTTACGTGTCGGCCCGGGACGCGTCGAGCGCCTCACGCGTGAGGTTCAGCCCGGACACGCCGCGGGACACGTAGCGAAGGCTCAACAAGTTCGACAACTACCTCGTGTGAGTTGGTGCGAACGTGACTGGGAACTGCGTGACCCGTGACGGACTTCACGCTGTGACGTGTGACGCGTGACGCGGCGGAGCTAACGTGATATCGTACCGTACTAGTTAAATCAAATAACCAAACGACTAGCTTACAGTTAAGACATCGAAATATACGTTAATGAAATACAAAAATATAGTGTCACAGATCAGTAGCTCCCCGTAGCAATTTGTATGTACTGATCGCACCACGAAGCCGCGTCTTGCGTGCTACCGACTGTTTCGAATCTTACACTACCCTCTCAAGATTTTCCCTTTCGGATCATCGAAAGATTAAGTAGAATCTACCATCCTCGAAGGGGTGTAAGGAAACTATTCTCAACAGTAAAGACTGACGGCAGAATAAGGGCTACCAGGCCTACTAAAAAAACTTAGACTTCCTTCACATTCCACGCAATGTATCAATCGTAAATCAGATGACTACTGGGTCAATGCCCTCACGATTTCATGTGACGCGGGAGCTTTGAAACGATATATATATTTGCAAAAATAATAAGCATTAACGCTAGTCATGTGTAACTTTTCACCGGAAGGGTTCCCTTACGCTTCGTTCGAGTGTAACGCGAATAATTGTGTTCATTATTTAAGACGCGTAGTTCACTGTACATTATTGTAAGATACGAACGTGAATATTGTATTATTTCAGGACTTACGGAACATTAAATGTGTGCCTAATAGTAATCGAATACACCATTTAAAAAAGTTTTTCGATGTGATTTAGTCGGTTTTTAAGTAAGATTAAAGACAGCACTCGTTATACGATTTGCCATAAACTGTTTGTTGGCAGATACGTAACGATTAAAATAAATAATAGTTCAGTATTTATGCGATTTTGATAAATCAGTGGGTACTTAATATTATTGAACAACGATATTAGAGAAGATTTCGGATAGTACAAAACATGTAAATGTTGCCATCGAGCCCGGGCGCAATGGAGTTTGTACAGTTTAAAATACAGATAACGCGTGGGGTTAACGCCCTTTGACGTTAAGGGGTTGTCTTCGCTTTACATTGCGGGTTCACGAGACTCACCAAATAAGCCACTGCGTTTGCGGGTATTCTGAGTCGTATTGTCAGCAGTCAGTACTGACAGCACGGCCCCAGTGTAATAACGTTTAAGGGCGTTGCTTGCGTGTAAAATGTTCGCTAGTCAGGCAGCGGAAATAACAAAAAAAAAAGACTCGTTGATTTTGAAATTGCAATTGTATCTATGGAACTGTTTTTTTTTTCATTGGTGCAGACGATGAGATCCCACAGCTGATCTGTTACTGCGGTCACAGGAGGCCGCTGACAGCGCGTGAGTGCAACCGCCCGTCTTGCGACGTCTCATGTGAGGTTGAAGCCTCAAAGTATGGAAGTATGTCGTATCATTATTCTTCAAACCGAAACAAAACAACGCTTCGCGATACCAATGGTTACAGTTAAAGCACACACAATACTAAATTGGGCATTTAAAAAAAAAAAAAAAACAGTTTTGTACAATATGTAAATATGTAGTAAAATGATATTTGTAAGCATTTAAACATTTTGTTTGTATCGCGAAAATGTTAATTTTAGTTTCATTAGATTATAAATAGTACAAATGTATTGATAAGAAATTCGTAATCAGTGCCGTTACGTCGCGGGGATTACATTTAACGAACAAACAAAAAATATCATCGTGTATGTACGCATTTAGATTTGACAATATCCGTGTATACAATGCTTGTTGTTGCTTAATTATGAAAGCGAAGGCGGTAACGTAGGGAGCATTGAACAACGAAGTAACGGCGCGTGCAAGAGAACTCTTACCATAAGGAAGACAGCGCTAGTGTAGATAGAATACCCTCAAATATTACAAAATTATACGATCCAATGTAATAATAATACGGCGAAGCGCGAGTTCAACGACCTCTTGTATTTTTTATTCACTCATATTGTTTATAATTTTTGCTGAATTATTATTTATTCTCAACTATTTGTTTAACTCGTGATTAAGCAGCAACAGCAATAAACCTGACATCAGAAGTAAAAGATCTAATATCCATTTTCTCACTATTTAAATTGAAATTAAAATTTGCTGAATTTTAATTAAAATTTGCTGAATTTTAATTTCTCGAAAAATAATAATGACTCGATAAATAAAAAAAGCAACTAGCGTGCAAAGAGCAGTGTTTGATATACCGATAAGTATAAATGAATTTTGTACAAAAACATCAAACTTTAGATATTTTTACATTAAAAAAATATAAATAAATAATATCATTATATTTAGGGGTTAGTGTGCAGCTTTTGTATTCCACGATTATACTTAAGTGTTTACTAGTCGGATCAAAACGATGCAAGAAATATTGCATATCCAATTGATTTCAATGATATTCAAAACTGATATTAACGCTTCCCTGTTCCAAATAAAAACACTGGATCACTGTATACCAATTTTTCTATTCGAACAGTTCAATTATTCTGTTAAAATGGCCGGGCCTACGAAATAGGGGGAATGCAACGGAATAGATGGAATAGAGATCAAATAAAAAAATAAAAAAAAAATTTCGCGCCAAAAACTTATCTTTCAAAGACAACACTCAAAAATATTATAGAATTTGAATGTTTTCCAATATTATTATTTTTAATTTTATTAGATTCTTTTGGTGTTAATTGTGAGATTGATAAGTTTATGGCGTCAAGAATTGTAATTGTAAGATGTGTATGTGTATATCGGTAAATTTTATTATAAAAAAAAAAACTTAGCTTTGATATTATTAGCCCAAGCCAGTGCCTATCGAGTGTAACGACAGCGGGACGGAGGCGGTGGGACGTGCGACGAACCAATCAACGGCCAGTAGCGAGCGAGCTTTTTGACAGATCGCCTTTTCGCATTAAAAGTGTACAATTTCCAAAAATATTCGATATTGAGTTAATATGTGGAATCATTTGTATCACCAGTATTTTTCTAAAGTTTTTTTTTTAATTTATGGCCTGGTTTCTTGACTTTTCTAATAAGTACTGTCAAAAGAGCATATTTTTTTTTTAGTTTACCAATGCTTGGACTTGTATTAACAAAATTAATACATAATTTTATCTTACTATAAAATACCGATATAGTAACTGGGAAAAAATATATTGCAAAGATGATTGATTGAAAGATGATGTGAAATTAGTAAGTTTTGAGATTATACAGTTTTAATGCGAGAAGACGAGATATTGTGTAAAATTTGGTTTGTCATTTTATATATTTTTATTTCCCTTGTGCAATATGTGAAATTATTTTGCGTCCTTTTTAATTCTATTTAATTTTTTATGTACATAATATTATTTACGAGTTGAAGAAAAAGCAGTATTTAAAAAAAGAATAAGAAAAACGCAGTATTTGCAAGTATTTTATATTTGAGATATTAATAATTTAGCTTCGGAGCAGTGCCAATGTCGTCCAGTGTTTCATTTTTTTGTTTTTTTTTTTTAATACAAACCAAAATATAACCAATTTATTGTAAGAATCTCTTGAAAAAACGTTTCAGCGTATGGAAGTCACAAATTAGTCATGGACCAATGTGTATAATATTAAATACATCGGAGATTAAAAGGCGCGGTTACTTAAAAAGGAAATAATAAAACACTCTAGTCCTGATTTTTATTTATTTATTGTTACTGAAACTGACNTTCTATTTAATTTTTTATGTACATAATATTATTTACGAGTTGAAGAAAAAGCAGTATTTAAAAAAAGAATAAGAAAAACGCAGTATTTGCAAGTATTTTATATTTGAGATATTAATAATTTAGCTTCGGAGCAGTGCCAATGTCGTCCAGTGTTTCATTTTTTTGTTTTTTTTTTTAATACAAACCAAAATATAACCAAATTATTGTAAGAATCTCTTGAAAAAACGTTTCAGCGTACGGAAGTCACAAATTAGTCATGGACCAATGTGTATAATATTAAATACATCGGAGATTAAAAGGCGCGGTTACTTAAAAAGGAAATAATAAAACACTCTAGTCCTGATTTTTATTTATTTATTGTTACTGAAACTGACTAGGATCGAAGGCGACGAGCGACTCGCTTGTAGAAAGAATATATCGAATAAATTGAAATGTTCTCGGTATTCCATTATGTACATTCCATTATGTTTTAAAAGTGATGTTATGTCTGGTGTGACGTCGAGCGAAGGTTCTGTGTGCCAATAACGGGATGTGGGAGGATGCCTTACGTATGTAATGTTTAAATCGACAAATAAAACTAGACTTAAGCTTTTTACGTTGTCGTTTTATTATCTATCCCTTTCCAACGAGAAGCAAGGCGGTTGCGATCCTGACTACCATTATCTGTATTAACATACATTTCCCTTAATGCTCTCGCCTTTTTTGGCACCGTAACTTGTATTTCCGGTCAATCGTCCCACGTGTTGGAAGATTTAGGGGTTTAACCCACAGAAAAGTCCGTCGTTTTCCTACCCAAGCAATGTATATACACCGAAACAGAACTCCGAATGGTTGGGGACGTTGAGATAATGAATAATCAACATTTCAACCAAGCCTTCGCTGAGAAGTGAGGTCGGGGAATGCAATAGCAGTGCGACTTCAGGAATGAACGTTCTATTGAATATTATTAAGCTATTTCGTATCTGAGAATATCAGCAGTATACACCATCTGTATTCGTTTTCGGGGACATTTCTAATACACCCCGTTTGTTGTATATGTGCCATTATAATTCTTGAAATGCTGAAAAACAGATTGATATACTTCACCAACGGCTATCTAGTCCCAATGAGGACTCTGTGATCTGATATCTGAATGATGGTCTTGTTGGCCGTTTGGAAAATTAAAAAGGTCCTACAGATGAATATTTTAGACCTCTTTAGGTCTCATTTTAATTTTAAACGAGTTCCAAACAGCAAGAGTAAATAGAGAAAAAAGCGAGTTAACAAGACTATTTTTTTCTGTCATAGCGTTATAAAGATGTTTGCTGCCACCGACACACTGACATGGTTCGACGTGAGGTCAAAATCGGAATTCTGTTATGGAATAGCAGTCATAACTATTCGCGCAGATTCCCAACATTCATACTAACAGTCAATGTGTATTAATAAATTTCGGTTCAAATTCCTTAAAATATAACCGATTGAAAAGAAAGAATCAACCTTGTCAGATTGATATGGAGATATTCACCAGGTGTTTGATCAATAACGAACTATTCATAGATATTTAAATATTTTGTGAAGAGAAAATGCTGAGAAATAGAAAAGATAATAAATAATATTACATAGGATATTGCATAAAATCGTTTTATTATTTAAAATACTGCATACAATCTGTGCCGTGTAAAAATATAGTTATAATAAATGTAGTTTAAATGTGATTAAAGGCTACATTTATCATGAAAAAATATTTACATACTTCCGAATACAATGTTAATTCTACATATAACTAATACTAGATACATACTTTTGAAGATATTTTTTAATAAAAAGTAGACTGCATAAAATATTTCATATTATAAGTAAATCTTCAATTAATACAATCGGAAAATACATTAATTCTTCGGTAGTACATTATGCATACATAAAATGTCGTTTTACATATTAATATTAGGTAAAAACAAATTATATACTAAATTCAATGATATTCTATAGATATAAATTGTACTTAAGTTAGGTGTCTAATTCAAATAAAAAACTTTTCATTCTGATAATTCTTTTCCTGTTATGAGATAGAGTACTCAAGCTCCCATTACTAAAATGTATGATAAATGTGTATGAAGCAAAAATAGATAGCAAATTTGTAATTTAAATCTGGATTTCTTGTTCGTTACGTCTTGCCTTTTCAAAATTTTCAAACTTAAAACATGCGCTTAATTGCAATAAAGTGGGTCCAAAATGGCGGTAGGACCCCATGTAGTACTCATGTCGTAGCACGCCCTGTGTATAAACTCTCAAATGTTCGATTAACGCATAGTGACGGATTTTCTTCAAATTCTAATATTTCAAAGATAATAGAACATTAATCATTGAATTTTATAGAAACGAATGCATAAAGATTTTTCGTCTAGAAACAAGTCACCGATAGCAAATAGCTAACAGATACCGAGAAATTAATTTAATTGTTAAAAATATCATCCAAATTTAATATTTATGCGATTTACCACACTTGAATGATACAGACTGAACTCCGTCCACTGTTAGCTTGTGAATTTAAATACAATTCCCTGGCTTTACATAATTCAAATGAAATATTACTAACTTGTTTCTAAACAAAAATAACTACACACTAAGCATTATAATTATGAATATTTTGATACTCAAACTACACAATTACATAGATATACTAAAAATAAATCCGTACGTAAGGTTGAAGGACTTGATACGAGCTATTATTAGTTATACAAATATATAATGTAAGAGAAATAAACAAGGAAACGTGTCCTCGTTACGAACTACATTTTATCTTTAAAACATTGTTGCAAATGTTAGGGTTTCCTGTGCCCATCTCATTTCTAAATTTAGGTTTTTAACCGTAATCCCTCTAGCTCACTCCTCACAATTATCACAAGCGAAACTCCTTTTCTCGCGATCCCGACGAGGCGTTTAACGCACATCAATTTTTGCAGTCTATTACAAATTACTAATCTTCAAGTCTCACTCTATTATCCAAATTTTTACTCATTGTCTCATAGTAATTTTAAAATACCAACCCAATTATATGATGACCTACCTAAACTATTGTATTCTAGTAAATGTGCAAAGACACATAGCTACGGCGCAATAAGTTGAATTAAACTCGCTGAAACGTTTGGCACAGTTTTATCCGTACTAGATAAGCCGTGTTAACTAAAACAAATATAAACTTATTATAGGTACACCCACATTAATTGTTATGTTATATATTTTCTATTCAATCCAATCCAAACTACACTAATCCTAAGGAAGTCAAAGTACTGTTTGGAGAGTGGAATGATTTAAATGCACCGATATATTATATTCAGATCTATTAATGTATCTATACTTAGTTTTTTTTTGTACTTAATAAACCTACACTAAAAATTTTCAGATTACATATTAAGCATTTATTATTAAATCATTTTAATATTTC